AATTCTGCTAGTAAACCGAATTGACAAAATTGAAAGCGTTTGTAGAACACACACAAAGGCCTAGTTTATCTCTCATTTGGACCCATTTGTTGTAGACCAGAGAAATTTGCACTTCTGTGAGTGATATCACAATATTAGATTTTGCTTTCTTTTATGATATGGCTACTGCAAATTGCCAGTCAGACACTGAGGTACCAGTAATTTGTATTGCTCTTTCACTTGCATATCCCTACCACTTTATTGGTTTATCTGTGGTTGCTGTTTATTTTAATTATTGAATTATTTATTTTGTGGAGTGAAATATTTGTTATTACGATGTTTTCCAGTTGAAGCGTTGAAATGAAAGTCAGTCGCACTAATTCTCTAAGTCCCCCTTCTTCCCCATGGAGAGATAAGTCGTTTTTCTTTTCACTTTCCCTGTTGGTTAGTTAATTTGTTAGTTTGTAGTTAGGCTGATTTTTAGTAACATTACTTTGATTCAGTTGTGGCTAATGAAATGGGATATAGCTCTGTAGCAGTGTACCATTCAGACCATTATAAACAGTATGGTACACTTAATGGGTTAGTTTGCTATGTAGAATGCTAGTCGGTTTGCTGGTTCTTTTATGATTATTTACCTTATAAGGTATGTCAAGCTGTGTTTGGAATCAGATAATTATTTTCTAATAAAATTATAACAGAGTGATGATATTGTATTGCCTCATTTAACATTTTTTTTTAATAAATGCTGACAAATATCTTTGGTACCATATTAGAAAAAAAGAAAATATAAACTGTGAATTGCGCATGGATGTTTCCCAAATAGATATGTTACTGATAATGATCTGTGTCATTTTTGATTATGTGTTTAAAATGCTTATCTAGCTTATACAGAAGATGTCATTAGTTGTGTGTCCAACATTAAATTATCCTTAGAAATAATTCTCCATCATCCATATGCCTTTATGTCCAGCTCTGAATCTTACTTATTTTTACAAATTAAGGACTATGTAAAATGTGTGTGTCTAATCTTGAATTTGATTTCATCCTTACGAGGTGGTAGCATGCTGTCTTTTTTTTTTTGGTTTCTCCTAATAAAGTTGTTGATCAGTTTGATACATTTTTATATTGTATTTGAGCACCCTGTTGCATCAATTTATCATTTCTTTCATTACTTACTTACTTATGGAGCTGAGCCCCTCTTGAGGAGAAGCTGAATCTGCATTACTTTCATATAGTCCATAATTAAAAAAAAATTAAATTAAAATAGGTCAACACTAATTAAATTTAGTTAAAACCAGTTAAATCCCATTCTTCTTGTGGGTATCATCTTCTCGTCCAAATGACCTATTAGTGCAACCTTCCTTGTGGCATGGGTGTATTTGTGTTATTGTGTAGTTCATGGATGTTGGTGTGTTGTTTTCTCTCATATATATGTCCCATCAGCTGTAAAACTCTTTGTGGAAACTGGTGCTCACTGCTTCCGTGTCTTCCTCTACTCCTCCCCACTTTACACTCTGAATTCAGCCTGTGTTAATGCTTTATGTTTTTTTCAGATACACTCTATATCTGAAAAGGGCCCTTTAAATAGCCACTGTGTGCTCGTTCTGTTTCTCCAGAGTTCTCTCTACCTCCTTTTCATTCACTAAGGGCCATTATTTCTCTCATTCACTGTGCCCTTAGAAAACGACTTTTTGGAAGGCCAGTAGTCTTTACATTGTTTTTGCTCCTGTTACTTCACTCAGTGCGTTGCTATCAGTCCTATCCCCTCCTATATCCATACCATTCTTTCCATGCTAGGCTTACTTTCCCACCTTGAAAATAAAGGCAGCACAGTATATGGCATCATATTTGAGAAAACTGTTATCTTCAAGCTTAACTGCTATCCATTTGCTGCTGACTAGCTGGGCCTGTCACAACTTCACTGGAGTACATCATCCTGTTCAGGGTTCTTGCTGGCCCTTCTCAGTTTCTGTGGCTGTACTGTTTGTCACCCCAACAACCAGTCAACTACTTCATTTTAACCATTGCTATAGCATGGACAATGGGGTCAGGTTCTAGGAGTTTAATATGTACCTTTAATTCAGAAATGAATTTGGAACAAACTCTCAGGAAAATTAAGCATTATTAGAATTGATTTAATTAAAAATAACTTTTTCTCTACTTTCATCTGTGGTAGATAAAGTTATTTGCCATAAGATTTGCTGGAAACTTGGAGTCTCTAGTGAAGATCCAATAAGAGGAAAAATTATTGATTTGAATTTGTAATAATATCAACAAAATTTTTTCATCTTAACCATTCATGGGAATCAATGGAATCTCTTCCCTTATATGCTGTAGAATAATTATGCACTCATATATTTCAATCCCTCTGTCTGTGGATTATTATCATGCATCTAAGCAACTGAATCAGTTGGAGCACCTCATATGAAGCTATGTAAGAGAGTGAAGGTATAACTTCGCCATAGTGCTCCCTGTAATAGAGTAGGAAAAATTCTTCAGTATTCATTTGGTAGGAGGTTGGGTGTGTTCCAGAACGATTTCAAACATAGTTGTGAACAGAAAAGTCCTTGCCTCTACCGGTACTTAATTACTGGCCAAACATAAATTAAAAATTGTCATGATCAGCTACAAGGATTGGGCTCATATTTGGTCCATTCCAGCTCCATTGAATTTCCACATGCTATTTCGTCTTTGGTCTCCCACCTGCACAGCAACCTCTTGGCTTCTTAGTTACTTAATTCTAAACATGTACGTGTATACCCTCCAGCTTATTCTATATAGCTTATTTGTTCCACAGATTCTGCACATGTCAATTTTTCCTCCAGATTCTTCACATTTTCTCTCATCTAAAAGCGTGTAACCACCAACCTATCTCAAAAATCACTTTACAACGACTTATGTTATTTTTATCTGTTCTGCTCTTATGGTCAAGGTTTCTCAGTCAAAGAGCAATGTTCGCATAACCATTACCTTAGCAGATTTAACTTTAACAGTCTTTTCTTGCATCTTTTTTACCTAATGTATGCTTTATAATATCACAAAAGAAACCTTAATATTAAAAATAAATTAGAGACAGTACAAGGACTGGGATCTTACAGTTTGTTTGTTACAGTTGAATGCACTCAAAAGCAAAATGTGTATCGACATTTGTTTCCAAACAGTTTGACATTCCTGATCCAAAATACTTAAACTGGATATCTTCATAAGGCAGAAGTTATCTCTGAATTTCCTTCTGGGAGCATATCTGCATGTAGTGGATTACAGAAGGCCTAGTTCACAGTGTTGATTGCGATGCATGAATACAGTCATGCACGAAGATCTGTGCCAGTATAATGTAGATATCTGTCTTCCATGCATAAAAGCATACTGTTAATTTTCTATAGAGCAGTATGATATATACAAGAATTTTGCAGACATTGACTCCTAGGTATTTCAGTAAGGTTTACAATGAAAATTCTGCTTATGGTTTCTCAGAGAAACATAAATAACATAAATATGGGGAAATGTAGAATTCAGATTTTTTCTCCCGGGCAATAGATTCAAGTCATAATTAAAGGAAAAAATTAAGCTGAGAAAACTTGTATCAGGATTTCACTGGAATAATATCATGCATGCCCATAAGTTAATGAGTTTCTCCTACTTCAAGCACCTGATCTCATGAGTGTTTCTTCTAATTTCTCTTTGTGGAAGATAAGTTGCAACCATAATCACTTGAAGTACTGATATTAGTCCATGATTTATTTTATCCGTCTTCTAGTGCATACATTCATCTATCCCCTCTTCTCACTCACTACATGTTTCGGCACAAATGAGTGAGAAGAGGGAATAGATGAATGTATGCACTAGAAGACGGATAAAATAAATCATGGACTTAAATCAGTGCAACAGGACGCTAAAATATAACAGTACTGATATTGTCTTCCTACACCGTCATGTCAAGCATAATTTTTAACTAGACCTAGAACTAATGAAGTTATGTGTGTTGTTTAATGTGGCTGATCAATAGATCGGCATTTCAGGGAGTAATGATGTAGACTGGTACTTTGTTAGGGCTGAGGAAGCCTTGCATGGGTGAGCCTGGGATGTTGAGTAGTGATTGCAAGTATTTGAAACATTGTTCCAGATAGCAATAAATGAGCATTTGAAAGCCTGAGAGATTGAAGTTGTGTTTTCATACACCTAATTTGGTGACTGTAACATATCAGTATCTAGCACAATATTTTTGTGTAGTGAAGTCTCCAATGCATAACAGTTGTTTACGATACTTTTTATTTACCTTCCTCAGTGACAACACACAATGCTACATTCTCAGTGAGAGACAGGATGTGTGAATGATATTTCCAGGTCACTAAAATAATAATGTGTATGTATTTAGTAATTTTCTGGATTTACTTTCTAGTAATTTACTGGGTTGACAAATACAGTCTGTGTATAATGCTGTAAACTGTCTCCTAAAGTTGTATTATCTTGTTGAGTTTAAGAGCACAAGGAACAGAGATGCAACAGTAAATAAGCCTGTTAAAATACAAAAGGAATAATATGTTCTGGTTTTATGTTTATTTTATATTATATTTTGTAAGAAACCCACTGTCTTATTTTAAATCATTACAGTGGAAAAGTGACTATATAAATTATGATGATTTTTCTGGTCATGAACTACTGGCTCTATGAATATCCATTGGCATGCAAAGTAATTTACAACCTCAGTCTTTCACAAGCTCAGTTGCAGAGCTATGAAGTTTAATTGTTAGTTCGAAGTTGTTTTGACACTAATTAACTGAGTAGTTTTAGATCATCAGTTCTTGCCGAGTGGAGCAGATCAGGCATGCAGCTTGTATCATGGCTCTATCCTTGGATCCTTTTTATTCCTTCTGCTATTGGCTGCTGGCTGGTGGCTGAACAGAGATAGAGCTGCTTTCCCACCTTCCTCCATTCCAACAATCCAATGGTTATCATTTCGAAGACTGTCCTGTTCTCTCTTGTCCGTGTGCTCTGTCTGTCTGGGTTGCAAACTGCAGCAGCAGTGGTATTCTTCTCGGATCTAGTCCCAGCACCTAAACAACTTACCCTGGAGAGGCAACTGAACAAGAGTGTCTTGATTGGCTGGAACCCACCTGATGCACCCCCTGGAACCATAGACTCATACCATGTCTACGTTGATGGTGTTCTCAAGACAACCATCAAGGCATCAGAGCGGACCAGAGCACTAGTTGAGGGTGTTGATTCAACAAGAGTAAGTAGCATACTTTAACACAGTTATATAGCATTCACATTACATACAGCTTGTTATGGATTCTCTTAGCTAGACTGTTTTTTACTAAAGGAAATTTTACAAAGATCAGGAAGATATATTGTAGATTATCATCTTGGTTGGCTAAAATAAATAAATCACAATGAAGAATATAGAGGAGTACAAGTTGTTTTCATTGAAAGAAATTCTTACTCTGGGTCTCGAGCATTTCTCTTATAGTAACAAGTAAATAAAAGTGAAAAAAATGAGATGTTCTTGGTTTAATTGTCTAATTGAATTAATTATGTAAATTTAAAAAATTGCTTCTGCTATCACAGATTACATAAGGGCATGTCAAATTTCATCATATTCATGACTACCTGAAATTTTGCTTCAGTCTTCAAACTATATTCTACAATAGCATATTCAGTATAATGTATTCAGTATTCAAATTGTAAAATATGAATCCATATTAAAGTAACCCAATTCAAGAACTTAGTTTGATATTGTGACTCACACAATGATGATCTAGGTAAGTTCAAAACATGTAACACAACTCCTGTGCATAATAAACAAATGTTATGTTAGTATATATTTCTGTCTTCGTTCTGTAGATATCATTGTGTAGATGTCCCGATTTAAGCTATTTTGTACTCACGCAACAGGCTGTATACCATAAAGGTTATATGCCAGTGATCTATTTATGTAATTGGTTTGGGATTGCCACCAATCCCTCACACAACTGGCCAGACATAACACAGTTATGCTTATATAGGTGCCAACCCATTAGGGTATTGCTGGGAATGAAATCGCAGATCCCCTGACAAAAACAGGACCTGAACAATCGTTAATAGGACTTGAACCAGCTTGCGGATCTCAATTGGAGTTGCCGAGAAAGATACTACTTTCTGGACTAACACACACACACACACACACACACACAAACTATCTATTTATGCTCTGTCTGAATTTAACAAAATATGTGCATTATGTAATAATTGTTTAATTATCTCAAAAGCCATCAAGACCTGCAGAAAAGTGTATAAGGAATCAAATGTGTTTTGTTTTTCTCTTTAATTTTTGTTAAAATGTTTAACATAATATTCTCAAGAGAAGCATATAAATGCATACAGATCTTGATGTAAAGTGACCGTTATTTTGACTGATTGTAATTAAAATAAAATATGTTGACAAACTATATTGAAACTGTCCAATTCGCCAGTTTTTTATGCATATGAATGTACAGATAAAATTTAATAGGCAATCAACAAGTTTGCAAACACTCATAAGAAGAGCTTTTTGTTTTAATATAGTGTAGGTATTGATGACAATCAAAATATTTAGGCTTCTCAGGAAATGAAGCTGAAGTTTTAGTTTATATTGTGCTTATTTACTGCAGCCTCATCGAATCAGTGTGCGATCAGTCACACCTAACAGACGAACATCTCGTGATGCGGCATGCACTATGGTCATCTGCAAGGACACACCTTTGGGTCCAAGCAATGTAAAAGCAAGCCATGTAACAAGCACCTCAGCTGTTATCTCCTGGTTGCCTAGCAACAGCAACCACCAGCATGTTGTTTGTGTCAACAATGTGGAGGTTCGGACTGTGAAACCAGGTGTCTACAGGCATACAATTACTGGTATGGTGTTCTTACTTTCATATTAGTCTGCTCATATAATGTATGCAAGATATCCCAGGAAGGAAGGACCATATTCTGGGCTGTTGCTAGTGAAATTATAGGAGTGTTGTGAAAAATGCCGAATATGCTGGTATGCTGCACGTTTACTGCTTCTGTGATGGTAGTGCCACTGCTGCTGTTCAAGAATACCGTCGACAGTTTCCTGTGCACGGAATTCCAGATCATAGAGTGTTTTCCAAGGTGTTCAATACATTGCGTGAATGTGGTACCCTTTCCAGTTCTCATGTGTCATCTGGAGAAGCACGTCAACATGTGGAGGACAGGAAAATATTCTTGAAAGGGTACAGTGTAGCCCTAGTACTAGCACACGAAGACTTTCTACACATCTTGGTGTTTCACAAACATGTATATGATGAACACTGCATGATGATGTCTCGTACACATTTCACCCATGAACTGTGCAAAATCTACAGGCAAGGGACAGTGCCTTATGTCTAGAATTTTGTCATTGGTTGCATATTAATAGTCAATTGCTTTCATTAATACTATTCACTAATGTAGCTGCTATCACCTCTAACAGAATCAACAACATGCGTAACTTGCATCGATGGTCTCACAGCAGTCTGCATGGTACTGTGGAAACAAATTTCCAACATTGTTTCTCTATCAATGCATGGTGCCATATGTTCAGTAACATGTTTATTGGTCCATTGTTTTAGATGATCATATGACAAGACATAATTACATAGACTTTCTGCAAAATGGATTACCAGAACTACTAGAGGATGTTCCTTTGGCTGCACGGATTGCTATGTACTTTCAGCATGACAGAGTATCTTCTCATTATACCCTACTTGTGATGCAACATCTCAGTGACAGTTTCGCTAATTAATGGATCAGTCATGGCAGTTCATTAACTGGCCACCAAGGTCTCCAGACCTAACCCCATTAGATTTTTCTTTATGGGGTTGAATGAACAGTAAATTATACAGAAGGAAAGTGAATACACGAGACAAATTGCTTGATCACATAATGAAAGTTACTGCCTCCATAAAGAAATGTCAAGTTGCACTCGGACGAGCAACACGCCATATCCTCACATGAGTTTCAAAATGCATTGTTGTTGATGGCAGAATTTTAAAAAAAATATACTATTCTAGGTAAACTGTACCAACTTTTTTGCTTGAACAATAAATGCTGGTATTAGGAACAGTACATAATATTTCTCTCTTATCAACAATTTTGGAACTGTACAGTGAAATATTTCTATCTCAGAAACCGTTTGGAATAGGGCACATGCACATATGTACTTTCTTGCTTAGAATGACTGATACTTTGGCCTCCCAGAATATTGACCTTTTCTCCTGGGACACTCTGTATGTGTTTGATACATTTAACATGTTCAGGCTTGCTTTCATTTAGCATATACTTCTATATAGCCATTGAATTTTATAATAATTCTGACTGGCCATCATGATCGAATAGACGGAATTCTTTTGTATTTGAAAACTCCTGTATTAAAATGGCATCCTGGGGAGTAGCGCTTCTGGCTGTGATTTTTCTCAGTTCCTCCAAGCAAATGTTGACATAATAGATTCAATTAGGCGAGGATCTCTGACTTTCACATTATTTCCAATTCATTATTCACTGAACTTCTTGTCATTTATTGTTGTGAAGTCTGAGCTATTGAGAGCACATTAAATAAACCAAAGCAAATAAATATAATTGTCTACCTGATCCATCAGCAGTAGGAATCTATGGTCAGTGTTCAGAAATCTGGAGTGCTAAGCACAGATGTATACTTGTCTAACTTGAAATTATAGAAATTGAAAATTTCGTCTTTGGACTACTTTGGACTGTGACTTGTCTACAGGTACCAAGCATAGAAGCAAGAATTATCAGACTTTAACATAATTTTCCTTTAGAATCATTCCAAAATTTTCAGAACACTACTGATTTAAAGGTCTGTGTCCAAATCCTGTATAATTTCATGTTTGGGTATCAAAAAGTGTCTTTTCTAACTAATTTTCTTATTCACATTGGTGGTTATGTTCCATACAGAGGTAACAGCGTTTTTCCATTTCAGTTTATGAATGAATCCAGCTTCATGTGTGAACTCTGTTGTAGATTACATTGCCTTCTGCTTGTTAGAGTTGTTTTGTTTTGTTTGATATAGGGATATTTTTGCAGCATTGTTTTCAAAATATCTGCAGGACTGAATGTTTCATAAATGACCCAAATAGAGTTCTATGTCTTTTCAGTTTTGAAAGTTGGTGAAATTACTTTTTTTGTGACAGATTATTATTGAGCTGAATTATTCCTGTTTTTTAATAAGAATGATATACAGGATGCCTATTTCGATTATTGCTTAGTGGTTTACTGGCTTCATCAATAGCTTTAGCATCAATCACATCATGTTTGCAAGTAGTATTCAGTGGTGCACTCATAGAACTAGTTGCAGCTGCAGAGTGCTAATTGCATCACAGTTACAGTGGAATATTATATTGGCAACTGCTCGTATTGGGTAGGATAATTGATTTCAAGTTCTGTGGTGCTGATATAATGTAATTATCTCTTTGATGTAGTATTTTAATAAGGACATCTTTTTGAGTAGTAAATGATTAGCTGTTATCCAGTATCATTTAACATGTACACTTTCAGCTGTGTATGAGTTAATGTGTTATTACTTGTCGACAAAGCTGACATGCTGATTGCTGGATGCACTTGGATGATATATTATATTACCATTATAGGCCTAGCTCCTAATACGGTGTACAGGGTGACAGTACGAGCTAAGAATATACGGGCTCCCAATTTTGATGAGAAGGCAAGCCAGCAGATGGAGAGGTTCTCTTGTCACGTCGACTTCCGAACATTGCCTAAAGGTGAGACTGCCATCATTCCTAATACTTTATCAGGTTAACTTTTGAAGTCATAACTGTAGCCTATTGAACTCTGTCAAGCTGTCATAACTTTATTTAATTATTTAATCTTGTGTTATTATAGGTAAAGAGCAGCCAAAAGATAGCAACGTGATACTACTGTAGAACATTTTTAAGTCATTGACAATTTTATTTGTACACTTATAGACGTGGAAGGTCTAGGTTCAGAAACAAATGTCACATCACATATGTGTGTGTGTGGAGGGGCCTAGTATGGGACACTGAATCTAAAGCATGCTGTAAGGATCACTGATACTTTCGCTCACACAGTGGGGCATCACTACCCCATCCTTGTTCAGTAAGAAAGTGCCAGGATTGCTAGAGTAAGCTGAGTTTCCACATCATACTTGCAACAACTTTTTTCATCATGTCTGTGCACAATCTTCACTATCAGTCACTCAGTAATGTCTAGTTTGACAACACTTACACTGCAAGGTGAAGACCAATAGAAGAGAGAGGTGAATAGGTCTTCTAACTCTCGGGATTTAGCATCACTCAGTTTTGGCCTGACCACTGCAATCACGTCCTTTAACTTCGGGGTAGTGTCTCGGACATGTGGTTGTTCGACATCGGATGAGGTCACCACAGTGACTGGCTCACAGTGTGCCAGAGGTTGGGATTCTTTCGTTAGTTTCTGGTCACAACGGGTAGCATTGAGGACCCTCACTGGTACCTTCTAGCTGTCTTGGACCAAGGGTTGTGGCTATATAGAGTCCTTTGGGAGCAAGGGCCTCTGGGCTTGGTTCTATCAAGTTACTTTCCATCCTGAGGGGCTCTCCAATTGAGTCATTACCACTTGCAATGTACAGATGTTACCTGATTGTAGGCCACGACCAGGTTGAGAGGTGAGGGTCCTGCTCCGGCGCTCCATAACATACTTATTCCCCTGCAAAACGCAGTGGTTGGCGCCCTAGGTCTAGAAATGCATCATATGCGCGCAGACTGTCCAGTCCCAAGGTGAACTTTATGGTGAAATTGGTGACAAATACCCCAATTTTGAGTGGGCATTAGCCCAAGATCAGTATCAGGAAAACTTCCTTCAGGATTGGGAGAGTTTCCCCAGATACAGTCTGCAGCATGTAGCATTGGTTCTGCTGTCTTTCAGGCCATCTGGCAGTGATGTTGGCCCTGATGACAGTCATATACCCCTTGGCGTCAATGGTCACAAGGCATGGTTTATTACTGGCACTGCCCTGTGGGACTAGCCTAGGGTCAGCCCTTTCCGTTATGACTGGCAGTGCATGGTGAAGGGACCTTAGTGTATACACTGTCATTCTCCATTTTTTGTCAGTACCCGCTCTTTTTCCGATGGTTGGCAATCCCTTGTGTTTGCCTCTCTGTTGTTTCTCCGTCGCCATTCAGACCTTCGTACTGGTTCCTGTATTTCTCTCAGAGGTGTCATTGTTGAAGTCCACCTGTTACAGCTGCCTAGCAGCAGGTTACATAACATTGTTTCCAACAGTAACTTTATTGTTGTAGAAGCTAGTTTCCACGCTGTTGCATAGTAACGGCTGTTGTCTCATTGTTTGATTTGAGGTCTTTGCCTGGCAATGGGTGTCCACACCGCAATAATATGCAATTCATGAAGAGGACTCATTTCATTTCTGTGCCTTTATAAATACCTTGAGTGTGGTTTACAGAACTGTTTATCCACATAGTAGGCTATCTTTATTTAGTCCTTTGGTTGTTACTGTGACAGCTGAATCCAATTATGAAATTACATTTCCAATTTGGAAAAAAGAAATTACCTAGAAGCTATTTATAAATAGTGGTTAAATGAATTCTAGTAGTTAGTAGTTAGTTGCTGGCTTCCCACTGTGATGGCCAGGGTTCGATCCCAGATCAGGTCTTATGGGATTTGTGGTGGGCAAAGTGGTACTGGGGCACGTTTTCTCCAAGTACTTCTGTTTACCCTGCAAATTCTGATTCCACTGCCTGCACCACACTCATCGTCTATCGTCCAGGGCTAGTACAAGAGGCCAAATCATGACCAGTGTACCTGGTGAACTTGGTCTTGAGGTGTGTGTGTGTGTGTGTGTGTGTGTGTGTAGGGTAGTTTGAAGTTATATATACATTCTTTTGGTATGATGTAATAACCAACAGGGCCATGCATTTGGGATGGATGCAAGTGCATGTGAAGAAATGATGTTCATTCCAGAAAGATTAATGACTCAGCTGTTCTTGAAAGCACTGAAAGAATACTTGATTGTCTGAAACAAGAGGGAATGTTATTTTCTAATATATTTGTTTGGATGGTCTTAAATGAAGTAAAAAGAACTCTGGTCAACTTCAGAGCAGCTTCTGCCTTTAATAATATGTTATATTATCTGCTTATTTGAGTTATTCATGTTGAAAATTGAATCTCTCTGTTATACGAGGGGGTACCCAAAAGAAACCGAACTTATTTTTTCTTAAACTTATTTATTCAAATTTTAAGCACAAACCTTCAATCCCCTTCAAAGTACTCTCCACTTACGCTAATACACTTGTCTAGTCTTTTATTCAATTTTTCAAAACATTGTCTAAATTCATCTTTTGAGATGCTTGACAGCGCCTCCGTCGTTTTTTCCTTCACCTCAGCAACATAAGCAAAACGCTTTCCTTTCATGTCTCTTTTCCTTTAAGGAAAGAAAAAAAAAGTTTTGATCATTTCTGGACTCTTCTTTCAAAGCACAGCATGCTTCACACGACCTTGTTTTTGTTCAGCAGTCAGCAGTCGTGGCACGAATTTCGCAGCCACCCTTTTCATTCCCAAATCTTCTGTCAAAATTCGCTGAACTGAGCTCCAAGTCACTCCTGACAGCTCCACAATTTCTTCAATGGTCCGTCGTTGATCTTCCTTGATGATTTCACGAATTTTTT